AAGGGTCTCAACAAGTTCCCTCATCAGGATAATCAAAGCTCTGACATCTGAATGAGATGTCAGAAGGAGTCATCATCACCCATCTTTTATGCCTGAGCTCAGCCAGCTCTGCTGTGCTGCAGGCATTTGACTGTATCTGTCAGTTAATTAAAGCTGAGTTTTCCTAAGACAGAATAATTGTTCTTCAGGCAAATTATTATGATCTTTTATCACCTGCTATTGTGATGATTCTGTAATCTTTATTTTTATTGTGTGATAAATACTCAGTCATAACCTTTACAATTTCCTCAGGTTGTTTTGATGGCTGAACTTTACATGACATTTTACCTAAATATAATACAATATAATACCAGGAATGTGCAATGGTCAGTGGGTCTCCGTGGACAGATGTGGATGACAGGACAGCTTCTGCTGCTCTCTCACACAAAGGAGAGCCCTCATAAGTACCTACTTCCCACCAGCAGTGTGAAGTACCCGGGCAGGACATCTCCGATGGGAGAGGAGCTGACATCACCCTCACTCAATAACAGTTTGCTCAGACTCCCCAGGAGCCTTCAGGAGTGGGAGGCTGTGATGCTATTGTCTGTGACCCACCATGGGCTCCAGGGGCACAAGTGTGGCAGAGCTGGGGACGTGTCATCAGGGAAAGAGGAGAGCTGTGCATCTGCACTCATGCCTGTGAGCTTGGAGGTCAGAAGAAATTTATCCTCCCGCTCTGTGTGTCCCAGCTTCCAGTGCTGGGTGACACTGAGGAGAACCATTCTGCTTTTGGGAAACCTCTGCTGCCAGCCTGGGGGAGGAACTGTCCATGGTGGGACATCTGTGAACAACATGTCCTGCATGAAAGGAGCGTTACGCACTTGTCTTGAAGGACACACTTAGGTCCTTCAAAGTGCTGTGTGAGTCCCCCTGGGGGGCCCTGAATAGAGAGGAAAGGCAAATTGTGGTTATAAAACTGTCTGCTTTCATGTTGAGGGGCAAAGTTATAAAAAAACTATTAGTCAACACTGTAATTGATGGTTTGATGGTAATTTGCAGCAGCACGGTACCATGAATATCAATTTTATTCAAAAGAACAGATAATGAAAACTTCATTTTGTAGTGACTCACGTGTAATACACTGCATTTCCTTTAATAGGAAATGATGTGCGTACAAAATCCATAGTTGCTATGATTAGTTGTTGCTGATCTTTAAAGATAAGAAGCAATGTGGAGAAAAAAAAAAAAAAAGTGAAAACTGTGTCAATTTATCAACAAGAAAGTTACTCAGATACCAGAAGTAATGAGGCTCTGAATAAAAATGACTATAATGAATCACTTCCTTGAAGTATAATTTAGCTTGTGTTTAGAACTGAGTAAGTACAGCTTTGAGATCCTAAGAAGTGTGCATTTCATGAAAGAAAGTGAAATTTCTTTAAGCTCTTAAAAACGAGTTTGGTCTCTGTTACATAATTAGTGCCACATATATTCATTCCAGGGTGTGACAGCAGAGTTCAGAGCCTTTTACACCTTCTGTGCACAAAATCACATGGGCAGAGGTAGAGGTAGCATAAAATCTGCTTGGCATGCGAAATCAGTGCAGTGTGTTGGCCCTGAAGACATATTTCAAATTTTTGGGACTAGACTTTCAGTGGGAAGGAGGTTATATGATCAAGCACCTAATTCATTCTGCAAATCTACTTTCTCTGCTATTCAGCCTCATTCCCAACTACAAATCACACTCCACACGATCAGTCCCCCACTGAGCAGGAAAAAGCAGGAAAGCAGGACATGGTGTCATCGAATCAATGTTAGAAGAACAGACAGGAGACATTTCAAAAGTCATTCAGACCACCATTCAGAAAGACTGCACATGTCTTTGTCTGAGCACTTATTTCCATTGTTAGTCATGAAAGATAAAATCAACATTAGTTTAGCAGAACAATTCTAACTTAAAAGGACTATTATGTACTATTGCAGGGAGTTGTACATTACGACAAACAAATCCCTGAATTTTTGTCACTGCTTGAAGAACAAAGAATCTAATTTTGGAAACAGAGGTCATCTCACCAGGCAAGAAACCACTGAAATGTCTTCCTAAATTACAGTTCTGCAGAGTTTTTTACCTCCAAAAGCAGCATTTCTAACTTCAATAAAATATTTCTACTGACACCTTACTTATCAAGAATAACTTCTAATTTCTGAAGTTTTCTTGCTGTCACAGTCCCAAGGAGCTTGAACGAGTCTCTATCCACGTATGTTACCTGCTCTTCGTATGAGTTCTCTATCGGTAGGTCCCATAATAATGTTTTCCATTCCATTGCTGGAAAATTTGACAAAAGTTAATTCAGCTGACCGATCCTTTCATGTTACTACAGAAATGTAGGAGTTAATTTATTTGCTGCATCTCTCTGTTTTTTCAAGGTTAAGATTCCAATAGGAGCAGCTGATTTTTCCCTTTTCATGCAACTAACATCTTTTAACCCTTTGCAGTTCTTGTGGTGCTGAAGATTTTTTCAGTAATTGCTAACTCATTGATTCAAGTTCAGCAGTTTACTTTCTAATTCTAGCAAGGTGTTTCTATGCTGTGAGGTGCTGACATGGTACCATTTCACCTTTTACACCCTTCTCTAAGGGAAAGTCAGTGGTGATGCCAAATCAAAGCGATGAAGAAAAGTGGCTCATTCTTGGATATAAGAGTCTTCACTAAGACATTCACTCACATCTCCTGACAATTCTGTGGATTTTAATGTTAATTGTGAGTTTTGATTATTTTGCCTATGATGCAAGATTTCAGGGTGTCTAAACCCAGGACATACAATGTCTTCTCAAAGCCAAGATTTGCATACTATGCCCCTTCAAACACTTTTGTTCCATTTCTATTGTTAGAAGTATTTTTTGGTGTGTTTGTATTTCAATTGTACACCTCCAGACTACAACCTTGCTCTTCTCTATCATTTTTTTTTAACAAGATAGTTATCTTATTCACATATATCTTACCATTTTTTTTATATATATATATATCCTTTTATATATATATATATTCTACAAACTTTCATTATTTTTTTCTTTGTCTTAGTTTCCCTTCTTTTCATTAAAGAGAATCCTTATTTCCTCCCTTCTCAAACTAAACACTGGAGGAGTTGTGACATATGACAGCTATGAGCTGATATCTTAAGATTGAAGTTCTGCAGATTCTGAAATGACAGAGCATCCATAGAGGTACAATGGCTGCAGTGACTATTGTTTTTTTACATGCAGTAGAGTTTAAAACACAGTTGTTTTTTTTTTGTTGTTTTTGTTTTCAAGACAGTCAACACATTGGGGTGATGTGATTGAGGGTGTTGTCCAAATGAATGTTGATTAAAAGGAACAGGTGAAGCTCCTAGCTCCAGTAAAAACACCTCATACTTGAGTACTACACAAAGAGCAATTGCAATAGTTTGTGCTGTCACCCACAAAGTGTTGTTTTTCCATTCTTTTCCATCTATAATGGTAAGTTTCCTTAGTAACAGAGTCCACTGAGTTATAATTTGGAGGGACTAATATCCAACCTCTGAATGTTAAGTATCTTTTCTGTAAGGCTTTGCTGGTTTTGGAGGTATTTAAATTGTGTTAGGATTGAAAGCAAAGTTTCACATAAAGCTGAAAGACAGGAAATGCCACTACTAAACTACACTAAGCAAGAGATGGTGAGTTTATCTTCATCCATGACCTAGTCCTGAGCTGATGGACTTGAAATCTGTTGTTGAGTTTTCAACTCCTCCCCACTGAATGTTTCTCAGTGACCAAGGAGCAATATTTTAATGACCTCTCCTTCTCGCCAGTTTGCAGATAGGCATATGGGTAAGCATGGTCTGATACAGCAGTCTCTGAACTGTGTCCTAAACCCACCCTATTATGCTGAAGGACGCCTGTGAAAGGCTGTTGGGGCTGAATACGGTTAGGGGTTTTGGGGAGAGAGAATTCCTCCATCACTGCAAGTTTCCTCAGGAAAAAAAACAACCAACCAAACAAACAAAAACAAACAAAACAAAACAAAACAACAACAAAAAAACAGCTCATAGAGCTACAATTCATTTTTATTCCTACCTCAGAGTGCCAATGTTTCCATGCTGGGTGGCCAGGCCCCCATGCACACACCTGCACCACAGCAGGGGCCTGGGACAACTGCAGGAGGTTGCATGGGGCTGGAGCAGGGATGTGCTGGCCAAGGATCCCCTGCCCCAAGACATGAGCTGGAGGTGCTCCATGCCGTGGGATAATCCGAAGCAGGATGGTCCCACTGCTGCAGGTCCTAGGTCCCTGTTTGACCCATCCTGGGGAGCACTCACCTTTGCTAGATTTTCCAAGCTGTTGGATGGAACTGTGAGGCTTTGTCTGATTTTGGGGGGAAACAAAGTAAAACATTCACAGAGTCTTCATCCATTCCATAAACATAGCCCTGCAGCGTGGACACACCCAAGGCTGACCAGGCTGCCAGACATATCCCTTTATTATCTAGTCAGTTATTAATCAGAACTAGGTTCATCAAACCCTATGAAGAGAGAGCCTGAGACATCCTAAAGTTTTCACCAACTTCTATTGAGGCAGGGGGATGAACTTCAGAGCTGCTGAGTACTCAGAACACTTGATTTTTGGTGACTGAGTGTGAGACGAAGAGCCAGATATCAGATCTGAAGGTCTCTGGCATGCAGCTGGATTAATCAGCATTGGTTGTTAATTGAACATCAGAGGAGAAGCTGTTTGCCCCCATATTTGCCAGGTAGCACTCACAGAAAACATACAAATCCATCCATGCTCTGCCAAGCTTGGACAGAGTTCTGGTCCTCTGCTGTGCTTCCTAGAGCTCTCCAGGCTTACACTCCTCTTCTGGGTCACCAAAGATGAGAAAAATAACATGTATTTGTGTATCAGACTTCACATGTATTCTGGACATTTGACCAAAATCCTTAAATGGGAAAGGTGCTGGTAGGTGGCATGTGCTGCATAAGAAGGTGTAGGCAACACTGTTAAACACATTTCTGCCCATAACGTTACTTTAATAGTCCACAGTTTTACAGCTACATATGTTCAAAATGATAATTTCCAGAAAACTGCACAAGACTTGGGAAGTTCAACAAAAACGTTTTAAAGAGCTCTTCAGAAAAATACAACATCATAGTGTTTTGCCAACTCTTGGAATGTATTTATTCATGTTTGGGTTTGTGTAAGGAAGTTTCCATGCTATAAATTTTTATTAAAAACATGTCATTAGAAATAAATAGCACATTTATAGTCATAAACAAACAAGTCATTTTTGCACACACTACTGCTGGATTTCCTTTTACAAAACTGGAAATGTATTCCACCATCTTATTTTTTTTTTGTTTATTCCTGATATAAAAGGATAATGTTAACCAGATGAAGTTTATACTTATCAGTTTTGTGTGTGCTCAGACTGAATACACTGAGGATTTATGTCTGTTTCCCTAATAACACTTATATTGGAAACATAGACTTCTGTTCTTGCTATTGATTTTGAATATAGTAAATTATCCTAAATATTGCAGAAAAATTACCATGGTAGTAACAAAGATTAATATACTTTTTCCTGCTTGCTCATGAGAATGACTGATTTGTATGGGGAAAAAAAAAGGGGAATATGCTTGTACTGTAGAAAGGCTTGATAACACCAGATGGTAAAGGAAAAATACTTTTTTTTTTTTTTTTTTTTTTTTTTTTGCCAGAACCTTATTGTCATTAGCTGTGTGAAAACATGTTGCCTGGTTTCTCAGATACTAGGGAAGCAGAATTCCTCAATGCTGTTCTCCTTTCTGTTTTCTATTTCCTGCAGATCAAGCTGATAGTATTCAAACGTCACACGATTGATGTGCTTGCCACTGGAGACCATTCGTAGCACAGTATTGTCACAACCAATCTTCATTTGGGCTAATTAGGGAAAAGGGATAGAGACATAAGGATAAATTTATACCAGAGAGAGGGAAAAGCGATATGTAGTGCTGGGAATTACAAAGCACTAATGCATACTGCTTTGGAAACAAAGCATATTTGGGTGTAGTGATGACCATCCGGTAGTGGCATTGCTGACTAAATGCCTTCCTCTGCATTTGTTGGTTTTACTTTATAATGGCCTGGCTATTTCATTAAATGTTGTAGCCGTTACTCATGCAAACATCACTCACCTCCCATCCATCTGCAGTCTCAACTACAGACATGACACGGAATTTATACACGCTTGCACTCACTGGTTAGATACCACTAGTGACCGGTGAGAACAGTGGCACCCTATCCTGGAGATCTCCAAAACTAACACTGAAACACTGGGAGAGCAGAGACACAAGATGGGATTTTCCTTCCTTTACGCTGCCAGGAAAGCATGCTTTGATCTTTTTGCAGTGCTCGTTATTTGCTCAGTTCCAGTGCTTGCTTGTTAAAGCTTTGGGCAGTGCCTGGACCATTAGGCTGTGGTGTGTTGAAAGGTGATGGAGAGGGTACTCCAAGGTACCACACTCCCTTGGCCCCACATCTGTGTGCTGCAGAGCTCTATCCATCTCATCACTGCAACACTGCTTTCTCTCCTCAATTAAATATTAGGGAAACTGGAAATTGTTATTTTTGTGTGGAGAAAGAGGTCACTAACATGGCACTGTTGTGAAAGAGGCTCAGCCTGAAAGCAGTGGGTGAGGGTTTTGAGGGTTTTTGGGGTATGCTTTGCTTCTACAGCAGAAAGGAAGGCACTGGGAACACAACGAAAGTGAGAAAAAATGCCTGAACTGAAAATGTAACTCCTCTACCTTCATTTATTATGACTTTCCAGGCTTGTCTGTCTGTTGACACTAATAATCATATGTGTCATAGGAAAACTGTTTTAAAAATTTATATAACTTGATTATAATTACTGCAGGGGCAAGTGAAGGTATTCATGGGCGTGCTGCATCACATCCCCCCCGCTGCAGGTTCGAAGAGATTTAGCTCTCGTGTTCTGCTACATGTGAAGTTCACCAGTCTAGAGGAAATCTGGGTTTGAGAAGGCTCTGCATGGCCCTCTCTGGTTTGGTATTTTGTCATGCAGAGGAAAGTGAAAGACGGAGTACTCACCAGACCCATGAAAGGAGTGACAGAGATCAGCTAGTGGAAACATCTTGGATGGGTCTAAACCAGTTCCTCCCAACAGCTCTACAAAATCTCCCACTCCCGCACAGCCTGCTGATGGTTTCTAAGAAGACAGAGATTAAAAGTTATTTGTTGTTTTCATCAAAATATAGCAATTTGCTAGACAAGACTGCAGTCAACAGCAGGTTTTAGAGTACTTTGTGCTCAAATCCATGTGAAATCAAAGCTGTTCTCATCTCAATCAATAAATAGTACTTCAATTTGTAAGTTAATTTATTTAAGAGACTCTCAGAGAAAGACCTAAGTGAGCTCTGGAAAATCACTCGCTTGCAGTTAAGATGTTGATCCAGTTGCTTTCAGTGCAAGTAAGCAATCTCATTCTGGGTGCAATTAATTTGATGTGTAACCAAATTAATAGAGTCATAGGGCTGCACGCATGCCCACACAGCTGGCAGACAGTAACTTAGGCTCCAAAATAACCTCACTTTCAGATTCCTAAGCAGAAAGTGATGCCAAATCTCATCGTTCTGACTAAGAGAATAGTCCCTGCTGTGGTCTCTTGTCTGCCCAATACTGAATAATGGGCCATCTCAAAGTCTGTTTTGGGACAAGTTGTTTCTAGGCATCCTGAACCATCAGCCCTGAAGCTGCTGGTTCACAGGCTTCAAGAGCAGAGAAGGAGCTCCTGGCAGGACAGAGACATTGGCTTTTTGATCAGGCATATTGGTATTTTCTAGCTAACTTGTAATAGAGGATTTTTTTTTTCCTCTTATGTATTAAAACTTTACGTTTGATTTAAATTTTTGTTTGCCTTTGTTTTCTTGTAACAAGAGTAGGGGTCTCCTTCTTTGTAGTGTGGAAGAGTGAGTGTCCCTGCGAAAACAGCATGTAAGGCAAGGCTATAGCTATGGACTGGTCTGAGGCAACCAATATTTAAAATCCACACCTTCTGTAATTCTGTGACTGATTTTGCCCTCATGCACCAAGCTGTGAGCTGAATTTCCTCAGTCTGGCCAGTCTCTATCTGCACGGCAAGACTGACCATCTTTTCCTGAGCACTTCCCATCTGTGCTTAGCCCTTTCCTTGCTCACCACTTGCCCACACCTTGTTCCCCTTTACTGTGCAAGGGAAATTTACACATCTCTTAAAAACTCCTCACTTCCCTCTAGGAACTTCCCCAGATCCATTTTCCAGTGGATCTGCAGCCTGGGTCATGCAGTCTCAGGACTCTCAAGACACTATCAGACTCCTAACAGCTCCACCTCTGGTATTATTTACCCTTTTCATTTGAATTTTTAAGCCTGCCCACCTCCAATCTTTTTTTTTTTTTTTTTTCCTTTCTTTCTTTCTGCAGAATTAGCAGATCAGCTCCTGCTGCTGATCAGCATATACAGCTAACATTTATTGCTCATTTTTTACCTTGACAAAAATAGATCATTTCTGCAGTTTCACTCAAGCTGCCCTTTATGCTTTCTGCTGGTGGGGTACCACACACAGACTCAAAGAGCCGTGTCTTCATTTTGCTCTAACTTTTTCCTTAAAGCTCTTCTTGGTGCAAACCACTCAAAACAAAAAACAGATTAGCAACAGAGCCCCCTGTGTTGCCCTGACAGGGACTTGTTCACTGTTTCTTGTCTTGTTTCCACCAGTTGGCAGCTGAATTTCTGTCTTCTCATGTCCTGCCTCCCACCAGCACCTTGCCCGTGTCATCTGTGTACCCTGACTGCTGCTCAGACACAGGCAATCCCCATGGAGGACCTCAGCTACCAGTCTCACTGGAACCAGAAAGCAAACATTTTTTTTTCTATCCTTCTGGACATTTTCACCTTTTCAGACCTCCCAGGCCCAGGGTGCTACCAACAGCTCTTGTCCTCTCCTGCCTGCTCATCACTTGAGCATCAAATGCTGTGCATCAGAGCAAACAGAGCAGAGGATGCTCAGCACACTGAGCATCTGTAGTGAACACATCTGTTTTTTCACCTTGCTCATACCTCACTGCCTAACCTGAGTCTCCTTTCTCTGTTCAGAGTGCTTCCCGCTTTCATTAGTTTAAATGCAGACAGACAGCTCTGAGAGAACACTCTTTTCTTTCTAATTAAACGCTTGCTGTAACAAAGAGTAATAAATATTTACATGTGCTAATGGCACTTTGCATAATTTGATTGCCTCTGCAATGTTACAGAGACAATAAAGGCAGAGACAGACCCAGCTCTGGTCTCTGGGGGTGCTGGCACCCATGGTGGGCACATACGTGATCTGGAGCACACATGCCCTAAAAGCCAGTGCTGTGGCCATCCCTTCTTCACCCCTTCCTCCCCTGTCCATGCCCAGAGAAGATGCACGTGGTAGTGATTTATTAAGAAACAAAACCCACTCACCTTTAGAAAGAGGCCATTTAAATGTCCCAGGATGAGATCGGATATTTTTATCACCACTGGGTATATTATAGAAAAGCTGCAGTTTCTGTGCTGATGAGGAATGACCATGGTGAACCTTCCCGAGGGAGTCTGAGAGATGACATTGCAAGCTGGGGCACAGGAGAAGGTGCAGATGTTACTTGTACAGCCATTACTGCCCACATTTAGCAAAATTGTGTACTTTTGGTACTAACAAGTAAAAAACAATTTAACATCTGAGAGTTAAAACCAGAATACTAAAAAGTATGCCTAAAATATTTTTAGGTTTTCTTGCCTGGCATTTGTTCCCTAGAAATTTCCTTCCCATTGCTTATGGCGTAGAATGGGTTCTATCAGAATTTGAGGGTGAGGTCATCAAATAGGAGAGCTCGCATCCCAAATCCACGCATCAGGGATTTGTGTTCTCAGGGGCTCCTACATTTTGCCAGTTAAAGCGAAATACGGATGAAGGGCTTTCATTTACCTTTGACTTGTCATTGCACAATACTGCCAGCAAACCCCCAAGCCCTCTCCTGCTCCTTATAACTGGGGTTCCCTTACCCTGTGAAACACCCCACTCAAACTAGAGCAGGCACATGCTTATTTTGTTTTGAAGTTCAAAATCACCAGTTCAGGTAGTAGCTTATCACTGGTGTGCGCGACCCAAGGGATCCTCCATGCAGGCAATGGAGGCCTGCAGCTGCTTTGGCCAGCAGGTGATGGACAGAAGCGAGCTCCAGCAGTTGCACGCAATGATCAGGTCCATGGGCACAAAGCCACACCAGCCTGGAGACCCAGTGTCCAGGCTCGTGTCTTAACAACTCAAAGTTAGGGAAGGGCAGACATGCTCTCACCTTCATCTTCTGCATTGTAAGGCAGATGAATCAGATTAATTAGTCAAACAGCTTAAATACTGAAGATAGATGTCCTGTCCTCTTTTGGAAAAGTGTTGCCAGTGACCAATATTTGTACCTTGCTAGCTTGTGGGCTCAGGGAAATAACTTGCAAGTAGGTCCTTGGGATCATATATCACTCTCCATGTTACTGTTCAATATACTGATTGTACTGCTGAACTTTTTCAAATATTTTTTCCTCATTGTTCACCCAGATTTAGAAATTGCTCAGATTAAAATCTCTAGTTTAATACTACCCGTTCAAGCCAAATGTGACTGGACACACAACAATATTAGATTTGAAGAGATCATCTTTGAAAGAAAGATCCTTCTTGTCCTGAATACAGAAGAAATTATGAAGTTCTCTTGTATTGTTCTCTAATTTTCTTTCCTGAGACACAAGCTGAGCCTGAGTCAAACCCCCAGGCAGGCAGCTCCACAAAAGTCACTGGAACTGTGTTGGTGCAGATAAAATCAGAGAGAATTCAGTGCAAACCATCACTTTTGTTTTGCTTCCCACCCCAGATGTAAGCTATTTGATTAGATAAAATAAGACTTACGGAAGAGGTTGGTAGTTTTCTTGACTGTGACAGTAAATCCATTGCCTGGGTGGTGAATCCTGAAGAAGATCATTGCCACGTTCTGTGATGACCTGACACTCCTCTGCATGTTGCCGCTTTCACAGAAGTCTGTGTATCTTTCAGAAGTGGGCAGGGGATGGTCCAAGGAACTAGGAAATTTCTCTCCTTTGAGTATCCAGCCATCAAATACCTATAGGGGTTCAATAATTGAAACCAGGGCTTTTGCATATCATCCTCTCAGCAGAGAAGTGTAAAGTGTTACGCTGTTTTATTTTGACACCAGATAGCTTGTCAAAAGCCCCTAAGTAAAGCGAAAAAATCTTTGTATTTATCTACTTCCTAACATTTAACTAATAATTAAAGCTTAAATCAATATTTAGGAATGGGATGGTTATAAATTTTATTGTTTTTATTTCCTTCAGGTGACAATTTTGGTGACTTGTTTTTGAGGGAGACAGCTCTCTTTGCTCCAACACCATCAAATTCACACCAGTTTTTTGATTTATTAGCACTGCTGTTCAATTGCTACTAAAACTAATTTTTAATGTGAAAGCCACATCAAACAAAAGTCACACTTCTGAGCTGTGGACATGAAGTCCACTGACCTGCCTGTAATTTTCCACCATCCATGTTTTGCAGCTCATCTTCAATGTGTCCAGAGCCCCCCAGAGCATCCGTGTTTCAGTCCAAAAGAAAAGCACGATAAATCTTAGGGGAGGAATTATCAGCAGGGGGATTGCTCTCACCTGTGTCTTTTCTTTCAGCTCACTGTAATCACTAGAAAGCACAACAAATGCTGCCTACTGGGCTAGAGCTTGAGCAGCAACCTCTGCAAATCTTTCTTTCACAACAAAAATAGCAACAAATTTGCCCTCACCATGTTCAGGGAGACCTGTCAGAAACATGCCAGAACTGGAAATCTGTGTTAACCCTAGCACAGCTGTGCAGTTACCTTCCCTTCCTAGCACTTCCAGCTCCCTCCTGCCTGCTCTCACCTGATAACTTCTTTTGTGCTCTGATCATGCTTTGAAAATCAGAGGACCAGATCCTGCTGCTGCTGCGGTGAGTAATCCTGATGTGAGCATGTGTGGGACGTTTTGGTGGAAGACCTGCAGGATTGGTTTCCAGATTTGCTAGAACTGCAAATTTTCTGAACTTGTGAGAAGCAGCTGCCCAAATCACATCAGGGAAAAGCTGCCTGTATGAATACAGTAGCAACTGGGGACACTGTAATCAGAGGAAGGAAACCTTTATAAAGTTTTAAAGGTTGCTTGCTATTTTTTTTTAGCTTTCACAAGTATCTATGAGTCTAGGAAGAAAATCCCTGAAATCATCCTGTAGCAACATTTGGAGAGACCCCAACCAAGGGACAGAGGGACAAGACCCCCCAGCAGAGGGACAAGGACAGGGCTAAAGCGCAGTTTTCCTCCTCCTTCCCCCTCCCCCGCCCCCCCCCCCCCCCAGCTCAGCTTGCAGCCATTCAGGAGGGGCTCTGTGCTGTGCATAAAGGGCAGAGCAAGAGGCAAAGGGAGCAGGCAGGTACCTTCAAACCTCCCCTCACCATCAAAACTGAGTTCAGGTCTCGGTCACACATCTGTCTGCCACCAAATTGCTCCAGTATTTTTTTTTTTTTTTAGTTCTGGACTATAAGTGGCTTTGCATCACAGACCTCTCTGTGTTTGGAGCATGCTCTAGCAGGGCCATTTGATAGTCTTTCCTGCAATGATCCACACATTAACAAGTTAATGCAGTGAGTGGAGGTCCTCACAAAGTAATAGCATTTCAGAGGGCTGTCGTTATCTCCTCACATGATTTATGTTATCACAGAGACAACAAGAAAACCCTCCTACCAGGGCTGAGAGCCTTGGCTAGCACCGACCAAGGTGCGGTCAGTCTGCCAGCTGCAGACGCTTCAGTGGAGGTGCTCCTGGAAAAGTTCGGAAGAGACCATGCTGCAGTTTGGAGACTGATTCCCTGCCTGCGATGGACTTTGCTTTATGGGGGTGGTGGTGGTGGGAGTGCCACCAAAGCACCTGGGGGAGGAGAGGCAGCAGTCCCAGAGATGGATGCTTTGTAAAAGCATCTGTATGTGTGCACACACACACACGCACTCACATGCCTTTCCACACACAGCCAGCATCTCACACACCAGAGCAGGGACAGGGACAAGCAGCAGGAGCTGCCAATTCCTTACCTTCAGGAAATCGCCTCCTTGGCAGTCAATGTCTACAAAGTCGTAGTCTATCGTGATGAGCTCCTCGGGCTCGCCGATGAAGAAGGTCGCACAGTGCAGCTGGGGCTGCTCTGCGGTGAAGGTGAACTGCCCCTCTATACTCAGCATGTCAATGCAGCCTGCAGGGACAGAGCCGGGAGCTGCTGCCTCTGTCTGCTCAGGGGGGAGACCCAGTGCCCACTCCCCCTGAACGGGGAAGGGGAGAGTGAGGAGAGACCTCGCACTGAGACCCAGTCAGCAGGGAGGAGAGGGAGATGGCTGAGCAATGGGGGATGCTCACAGGTGTGGTGGGGGAAAATGACATGTCACAGCATCTCTGAGCTGAAAACTGCATCTGCATGTGTACACAAGTGTATAAAGACCGAGTTCTTTCGTATTTATCCCTCATCACAGCTTTTCCATCTACCACTTCCACTGGAGACAGACCCTGCCCGCGACTGCAGGTGGATGACCCCCAACCTCCTCCTATCAGTGGAAAATCAGTTCTGACCCCCAGCCTCCTTCAGAGCCCCTCTTTGAGCTCTCTGCCTCAGCCACAGCTTGCGGAGGTTTTAACACTCTGCCTGTCTCCCCCCTGCCCTGCAAAATGCACCTGCAGCTCTGTCACTCCCAAATTACCCCAAGCTCACCCCCCCCAGGAACCTCCCACTCCTCAGAGGGACCCAGCAGAGCTTTGAAGAAACTCACGGAGCGACCGCCGGTAGATCTGTCCTGCAGAAAGCTCTCGCTTCAAATCTTCGCTGAGGAGTAGGAAGGGCTCATCTTCACCAGCATCCCTTACCTGGCAGGGAAACAGGGCAAGAAGAGGCTGGGGCAAAGCAAAAAACAGCCCCCTCCTTGCACTTTTCTAAAATAGGTGCTGGCAGATTAAATCCCTTCTCCGGGAAGGGTGCAGCTGTGCAAGAGCTTAGTCAGAAAGCTGCTGTAGTGGGGGAGCAAACCTGCACCTTAGAGGTTAGCCCAGCTCAGCACACAGAGAGTGTCTCAATTACTTAGCAAAAAGTGCAAGTTTGAGAAAAGGACAAATAAATGAAAGGAGTGCTTTTATATTAATGTCACACCTCTGGTCAGGTGCAGAGGAAATGGGAATAGGAAAGGAGAGTCAAATCCCAATTCTCAGGAGCTGGGAATAAAGTTAGAAGAGAGCAGAAAAGCACATCAAGATGCGTTAGCCATCAGCCCCATTGCTCACCTCTAGGTATCTGGTCTCCCCCTTGTAGGCTGCCAGGAAGATGAGGACAAGGTGGCACTGAAGCTGGAAGGCAGACGGCATGCTGGCACCCCTCTCTGCCCACGCTAAGTGCCTGCTGCTCTGTGCTGGGAGGCAGGAGCCGCCAGGGCATCTTCCAGAGACTCTTTTTATAGAGCTGTTGGGAGGGGAGGCACTTGGTCCCCGTACTGATAGGGTAACCCATGGTAACTGAATTCCTCTCACAGTGACACAGTACGTGGGCATGACGAGGGTCCAAATCACAGCCACAGATTCCCCAGCCAACAGCGCTCCCCTTGCTGGCAGATGTCTTTTCTACTTCTCTGTCTGGTGGAGCTGAAAAGCTCCCAGGAGGAGAGTGTGTTCCCGCACAGCCAGGGCGCTTGCTCCCTGTGGTGATTTCCAGTTACTCAAAAGCAAAGTGAGAATCAAAGAGCATCCTGCCCTCCTCCTCCTCTCTGGTCTCAGGGCATTTCAGACCTGCAGGGCTCCTCCTGCTGCTCCGCAGCATGCAGCACCAACACTGCCCTCCTGGTCCTGTGCCTGTGGTGGGGGCACAAAGGGGTCTGCAGCAAGTATACAGGAAAATGAGACAGTCCTCTGCAGCAGACACAGCTTTCACACAGAAATTAGGAAAACTTGGGAGTCCTAAGGGAGTATTTCCCACAGAACTCCTGATACAGCTGTCCCGCATCCCTGATCCTCAGGGGAAATTTGAGAAATACCTTCAAAGGATGAACCTGGAGATGAAAATTCGTAACTCTGCAGAGTACTGAAAATCATGAACTCAGTGACTAGCTTTATGGCATATTCTAATTTTCCTCTGACCCTGAGTGATCCACTGATGGTGTGCATACAATTCCTACACTTTACCCATCTCAGTCATCTTGATAACATCTTCTCAGCTATGCTTTTCTGTCAAAATCTCATTTTGGTTCAGTAAAACTTAAAAAACAATATGATCCAAACTTGCAGAGCTTTAACTTTGCTGCTCCTGATTTCAATCTTAAGGATGGTAGACAGGAACATTTGCTAGTTGTTTCACACCACTTGATGGTCAAATAATAATAGCAAAAAATACTACTCTGTCTATATGCTTTGATTTTATTATGCTATAATTCTTACGTTTGGAGTTTACTTTAAACTATAATATTCCTCAGTATCTGCATAGCACTTCTGTGATTATGCAGTATCTGCATGATTTCCAATAGCATAAAGAATACCGAGGAAACAGAAAATGTTTTTGAACTTTTCACACTATGTTGTACTCAAAGGTTGCTAAAACTGCTTCAGGGAACTGTGTGGTTAATTGCTGAATGAACCAAGACTGAATTAATTCATCTTCATGTACTTGCCTTGAATTGTTAACTGCGATTTTAAGCAAGCATCATCAGAAGCGCTGTGGGAGCTCAGAATTTAAATACTCTGGAGTTCTTCAGGGACTGAAGTTGTGGAGGAAAGCTGTAGGGCTTAGCCACAGCCTGTGAGAGGGTGGCTGGGAGGTTGCTCGGGGTGGTGTGAGATGCCCCAGAGACCACCAGGAGCCTGCATGACCTGAGGGGGCTGCAGAAGAGCCCAGCCTCTTGTACTTCTCTGATCACACACTTGCTTTCTGAAGAGAAGAAAGTCACGATCATTGCATAGCAGGCAGCTTGCTGCTTGTTTGGGAAATGACAGAGGTTTGACTAAAGTGGCCAGAAGTGGTAGCTGGAGACCTACTTCAGCCCCAATAAAAACCTCACTCCCTGTGCTCCCCATATTCCCAGCCCTTGGCAGCCCCCAGCCCCATTCTGGCTGGGGTGCCTGCACTTACCCTGCCAGCCTAGGCCTCAGCGGCTGCGTCCTCCTTGGATGCCTTCACTAAGTGAGGAAGAGTGCTCGGTTGTCTGAGGATTTCACCAGTTACTGAAGATTTGGTTGAATTCATCTGCAAAAAGGAGCGAAGGACAGGTGACACTGCAGCAAAACCTGTCTATTTCAGATCACCTGTGATCTGATCTGCTCTCACAAAATACACCAAGAGAAACACCATGGTTTTAAACCCTTCCCAGTGAAGGGTAGCTGAGGCCTGGGCTAGCACAGCATTACCTGGTGGGGTGCCCAGAAGAGCAGGTAACCCTGGGGCCGTAGCACAGCAAGCTGCTGGCACCAGGAGGTGTGAGGACTGTACTACAATCCTGAAGGTGGTGGAGAAAGGTGAGGAGCCACCTTGGGCCTACGGAGGCTTCATGCTTCTGACACAGCACCTGCAGGAGTTTGCTTTGAGCACTGCAAATATTCTGCATGGCATTATTGCTAAAGCTAAACTCAGATGCCTGTTGTTGTAGAAGGGGAATTCACTATTAGCAGGGACACTCATGCAACTTGCTGTTTCCTCCGTGCCACATCTTGCTCTGCATTTCAGCTCTGTGCTCAGCAGCAGCTGGTGAGGAAGGCACAGTGACATCCTGCCCAGCATCCTCGTGAAGCCACCCAGCCCCAGAGGTGATTCCCTGCTTCCTAAAGCATAGGGCTGACACAGTCACAGGATGGTTGAGGTGGAAGGGACCTCTATCCAGCCCACCCCAAACCCTGAGTTGCCCCTCTGCCGTCAGAGTCTCTCTTTGCCTGCACAGACCAGACCCTCGCTCCAGCTCTGCGTGTGCATAAGGATGAGGCTGAACTTGTCAGATGTGATTACACCTACCAAAGCAAAGAAAAATCAGCAGTTTAAACAGGGTTCAAAATATCCCTAGGGCACTTTGGAAGGGAAAAGCACCTTAAATGTGATACAAACCCTTGGGCAAATGAGAAGAGTGCCTTTATTTATTTATTTTTATTGGGTTGAGTCACAGTAACACTTAATAGGACAATTTTGTTTTGTTAACATCAGATTACATAACACAGAAAAGCACATTCCCACCCTGTCCAACCCTGCTGTAGACCAGATAATCTCATGCTGTGACACCTCCACTACACCAGCAACCTCTGTGGCCGTAATGCAGCCCTGGGAGCACCTATCTCCTGCCTGGCAGAAGCAGGACATCACCTGCCCTACACCATGGTGGCACCTCAGACCCTGCAGAGCATTGTACTGCTAGAGCTGGGGTCTGTAGGTGGGTTCGGATGCCCACAGCTGCCTGTCCCATGGTGAAAATTCCCCCACACAGTGTTGGGAGCTTGTAGGTGTCTTGTCAGCTGCTTTTTCAGAGGAGAGAGATCGCAGCTGTGGTGAGAGGTGGAGAAAATACAGCTGAATAGAGAGTAGTGAAACAAGCCTTGTTTACTCTCCACTGTGGAGATCAAGTGATGCTCTGTGCTATAATGCAGTCAGTAATTGTGTTTTCCTTTCCTTTGAGGTAAGGTGGTTGGTGCTGTGAGGCTGTGTACGATGCTCTTGGAACTGAGCTTTGCAGAAAGCAGTGCTCCAGCTACAGGCACTCCTTAGGGCTGCCTTGCTGATGAGAACAGGGACTGGGTGTTACAAACCACACAGGACCCCTGGTCTCCAAAAGGGTCTTTTGAGCCCCCAGCTCCCTAAAACAACACTCTTCCATGCTTGAATTCCTGGGAAAGGTCATTATATTTCCACACAAGCTTCTTCACAACCATAGCACAGGCTGTGGCCACCATTCCCTCCCCTCAGAGTGGAAATTTCCCCTGCAGCTAATCGCCCCCTATACCCAAGTGAATCCCAGAGCTTTCTCACTCCACACAAACCACAGCTCCTGGATTTCCTGTGATATACCTGTTGAAAACTTTGGTCTTCTAATTTGGGCCATATTTTAAACCCTGTACTTCTTAATTCCCCTGGGCTGCAGCCTGAGTCTTAGCACGAGCACCAGAGCAGATCAAACCTCCCTCTAACACCAGAACCTCAGACAAATGTTAGTTTTCCTGTATAGCCACATCTCCATGCAAGCTCTGTCTCCTTCACACCACAGGGAACATCCCAGTGACAGGCTGCTGCATGTCCCACAGGGACTCCCCTGCTCGTCCACACCAGGCAAATCCTCTGCCTGCTCAGAACAGCAGCAAGCCCATAGTGCTTCACCACCAACAGCATGGGTAAGGAGGACTTCTCCTGCCTCAGGCACTCCATCCTCAGCTGCTCATGCTGATTTCTCATGGATGCTCAGCCCAACTGGAGAAACGATGCAGGGCATTGAATGTGCAGGACCTCTGGCTGTGGTTTAACCTTCTTGCTGTGTCAGCTGCTAACCACTGTGCTGAGTTAACATGTATTTCTCTTATCCTTATCCCTGCTTTAATTCAGAATTAAACAAGGAAGTAGCTTTTCCTTTTCTCTGGTGTCTGGGAAATGTAACACTATCTAGCTGTTGCTGTTTTTCACGTGGCAGCAGGTCCCACACCATTGTCTCTGTCTTTGCACATAGGGGATTGCTGCACATCACTGGCATTTTATTATAGAGGTATGCCATTCAACTGGCTGCAATCCCTTCTACATATTATTCCTGAACAGTGGGATTAACTAGCCTAGATTAAGGAGACAAAGAAACCTAGAGGCTCTAAAATGTCATAATTACTGCTGTGAGGGGCAAATTTTCAATCCCATGATAACTAAATTCTGTGCTAGCAATCAATTACTGCTCTGAAAAAAAAGAAATGCCATGGAAAAGGAAACAAAGGTGAGGCTGCATGAAAAATCACAGCTGCAGGGGTCATTAGGAAACTATATCCTTAATATAGACTTACACAGAACATCACTTCAAAGCCTGAGGGATTGTGAAACTAGAGCCACGTGTTTAGAATAGAAGGGAATGACAGAACAGAGTAGCTAATTTGGAAGGGATCTTCAAACATTATCTAGTCCAACTGCCTGAGGAAGCTCCTGCCTCTAGTCCATTTCCCTTATCCTATAAGTCACCATAGGAAACACTGAAGTCCCTGAATCCCTTCTCAGTACTCACAGATCATTACTGAACACTTCACTTCAGTTCTGAGGGCTAGCAGGGAAGATTTTGTATTCCCATACATCTCCATTGCCCCAGGCTCCTATGCATGTTTCTGCCTCCTCCCTTGCAGGTGCTGGGGAGAAGGAGAAAGAAGAGGAGTAAGACTTTGCAGCCACATCCCATAGCTAACCATCAGGTCCCCTCTCCTCTAACAGGTTATGCCATGCTATGCCACAGCTGATTAGGGCCAGTTAATTGCCAAGACATGGTGCCAAATTTCTCTGTGTGTCCAGCACACACTGCCTACCACACCCCAGGGCAATGGGTCACTGCTCTGCCCAGGTCCTGGCCAGGGAGCAACCTGTAGTACAGAAAAATCAATGGAGAGCTAATTAACATCTCAAAAACCCTTGTCATTTGGAGGGCCCAAAATGTGACTGACAGAGCCCTTGGAACCGTGATGATCATAACTACGTGATCATGACTACGTCTGGGGACCACTTGTGGCATGAGATGTTTCTTCGTTGCCACAGCAGTAATTAGTGGATAAGCACCCATTCTACAAAACGCACTGGTGGAACTACTGGACAAAAAACAGTTTAAGTAGCCAGGCTGTTGTCATACAACAGGAAAGGTACATCTCAACATGATTAAAGTAATTAAGCTGTCCCTATCAGTGTTTTGATATGCTTTTCTTACACAAACCCGACCATTGTTGCAATGATAACTGAAAAAGGGCATACCAAGCACCAAAAGTACAGTGTTCGGTATCACATTTTGTACCTTTACTCTACCTCTGTTTTGGGGGGGTCAGGCAAATCTTCTGGCAACATATGATCCATTCTGAACCCAACACTCCTCCCATTGCAGGCAATGGGCATTTCTGCCACTACCTGCTGTCCCCAGCTCTGTGTGCTGGTAGAGGAAAATCTACCACCTCTTCCAAGCCTTGCAGTACATCTTTCTGTAATGACACTTCTGTTACTTGTGTGTGTATGAATAAGTTGGCCTTAAATAGAGATGAACTTTCAGTAAGGTGAAGTAAATGTAGCTTGTTAACTCTGGGCAGTTTAACACAAGAGATGTGTGATTTGTTATGTTGAGTAGCTTTGAGAAATGACGAATGCCTGTGGATTGGTGAACAGAAAGACTATCAGCATTGTGCAGGCTTGATGATAAGTGTTGCATTAACACTATTTATGGCATTGAATAAGAACAAGAATTGTGAAGCTCGCAGTTTAGCAGGTTACAAATAATCAAGCAAACATTATATTCAGACACTGAGATTACCCTAAGGGCGATGATCACTACGAGCTCTGCCTGTGACTCAATGCAGCGTCTACACAAAGCAGTTGGGGCCAAGAAGTGGGAGTGGAGAAAAGTTTTCTCCCAGGAAGAAAAAAAGAGATGTGGGAGGGGGTGATGGGGAAAGGCATGTGCTCTGGTGTTAGGAGAGTTTCAGGACATTTGCCCACCTGGGATGTCAACTCTGAACACGGCTCCAACATGAGAGACCTGGTAGATGCTCCATATCTTTGTCCTCCTTTTCTCCATGTCTGCATCCCAACAGATCAGCACTGGGTTGTGTCAGTCTTCACCTAAAGTAGTGGCTTCCCTGACCAGTCCCAGTGTCCTTGAAGAGCAGTTTCCTTCCCAGAATGGGGCACAATTACTGGGGTTGCACTTTGCTTGGAGGCAAACATCAGATTATGCGCCAGACCTGCAGAGGACACAGGGTGTTTCAGCCACTGCTTCCTCTTCTCTCCCAGACTTGAGTTACCAGAACACTTGTCATTTTATTTTCAATGCTGAGGTCACCTTAGAATACAAAATATTATTTTTGGATATATTGAAAAATCTTACTACTTACACACACCTCATTCCAAAATTTGTTAGAATTGGGTCACTGTGAAGAATAAAGTTCCTCTCTGACAGAGCTCCCCTTCAAAGAGTGATATCATGAAATATTTTTCCTATCCAAAGACAAGTACTTCTCAGCTGAAGTGACTGTCTCCTTGATTGATTCTCACTCATCCGGGGAAAGAGCTGTGATTCAACCTGATCGTCTCCAACAGTGTTAGATATTACAATAATGGGCCATTTCAGAAATACTGTGGATTGTAACACAGTTCAGCTAGTCAATATGAGTCAGATAAGAGATGCCAGCATACCCAGCATATCGATGTATTTATCCTCTCAGCTACTCCTACCACTTAGCTCTTTTTCACATGCATGTAATTCCTCCCCTTCTAGACAGAAGTACCGCAGTGTTTCGTGTCAATGAAAAAAAACAAACATTGAAGGACTTTGAGATCACCTGGCATTCTTCCACCTCCTGAAGCCTAGAGACAGCTTAGACTTTGATAGGAATTTCACAGACCGTCTCTTACCTCAGGTCTGCCAACATGTTTTTTCACTGCACAGAGAAATCAAACTCAGCTTTCAAATTCTCATGAATTGATTTCACTTAATTTGTTTCCTGGGGCAACAAAAAATGACAAAAATTTTCCCTGAGTGACAACTGTAAAATAGGTCATTGATGCAAAGACAAAAAAGCTTTAGCTTCTCCTAGTCAAGACATTTGTAGTTTAACAGGACAGAGCTCTCCAGAACTATATCTCCTCCAACTACCTTTAGCCTACCCATGTGGACCTATCTGCCACTGCCACTCAATATCCACAGCCAGAGCTGGGGAAGATGCAGTTTTTGCAGTGTTCTCAGTTTCCTGACATTTTTCAGCTCACAAAAAAAAAACCTTATCTAAAACCCCAGCTGGTTCACTTGCCCTTCAGCTCCTCACAACTTGTTCTACCCACAGGATTTTCCTGTCCATGTGTTTTTCTGGGTTCATGCAACAGATGTGAATGTGGAGTCATCCTACACATGGAGATTTAGGAGAGACTCCACCAGCAGAGATACTTGGTACCCATACTGTGACCGTTTGCTCTGCAACACACAAAGTCAACCAAGACCTGAGAGTGACAGCTTGTAATTTGAAGCAGACAAACCAAAGGAACATCTCCCACTGATTTGTCCTACAAATACCTGTACTCTGAGCAACAGCTTCTTCTGTTTTCCTCTCAGCTGCCTTGTTGCAACATTTGCAATTTTACAGATATGTCCTTATTTAGCCAACCAGCTAACAGAAGCACAACTTTCCATTGACGGCTAATTTAAAGTCATAAGCACATGTCCTCAGCTGTTGCAAAATTACGCCACTAAGTGCAATAGGCTTTGTTGTTTTATATCAGCTGAGAATCTACTTGCTAGGGCAAAATAAGTGGATGCAGCTGCAGTTCTCTTCCTTGGGAGTAGCCCCCCTCTTACACAACTGATTGCAGGTGGCTGGAATTTGGTATTTAAAAAGACTTTTTTATTTTTTAATGTATCTGGAGAAGTTCACTCATCTGCTCTGCCTGATGGTTACCCAAGGGCATGTAGCCCAGCTCAGAGGAAAGGACATGGATGAAAATGTCCTTGCTTAGAAAAAAAAGATTGCTAGATCATAAACAAAAAATCTTATCTCATGCAGTATCATGTGGAAGAAGAAAGATAAAATTGAAAATGTGACCCCTTTTTTCCTTTAAATAATACAGTGCCATTCAACAGACTTAATTATCCCTAAAGACACATCTATTAATTGTTAGCCTGTCAATCAAACCCGTTATTAGACATGCACATGACATCACATCACAGTCTAAGAAATCTTCCTGCCAGTCAAAAACCTTTATATAGATTAATCTGATTTAAGAGGCAAGTCCTGTCTTTGACCTTTTAACCAACTTATCTGGGTGGAAATCTGAGAGGAACCGAACTTTTTTCGGCATGGTGCCAGCCAAGGACTGTGGGCTTTGGGTCGTGGCCAAGAGTTTCCCTCCTGGCCACTCTCTGCTTTACACTGCAGCACAGCCTGCAACGCTCGCAGTGGGAAGGGGCTCAGACTTGGACTGCTGAGTAAATTGGCATGGACCTGCATTGCCATAGGAGAGCTCTGCCCCACATTCCTCTGGCCTGCATGCATGGAAGTGTTAATTTTCCAACTGCTTGGGATACCATGAAGCCATGCTTCACTGAGATACATGCACTGGATTTTGAGATTTAGAGTCCATACTGTACACACTGCATAGACCCAGCACATTGCTGTGACTGAACACCCACAGCAGTGCTTGCTGCACTAGGGGAGACCTATAAGCCTTTGCCCCAGGAGTAAATAGCTGCTCTGCTAAGGGGAAAGTGCACATCTCAAAAGAGCAGGCACTGTACTGACAGCATGGGGAGATTGACAGCCTATGTATAGGGATGCCAAGGATGAGGAGTTATGCACCAGGATTTGAAAGGCAGTCCTATCCAGATTTCCTAGACCAAATAGGTGTGCATAGCATTCTCCCCTCCCACAACCCCAGGCCACTTTGTTTCTCACCTTTAAGAGCAGGAACTGTTGTTGTAGGATGATGATTATTCCACTGGGCTTGACACCGCCTACAGGGCTGTAGAGCAAAAGAAATGTTGCCTTCCAGTTGACCTGGACAGTAAGTCAGAGCTAAGAGGGACTGCTCCCTTTCAAAGCACTGGTGGTGTCACATGCAGTGTTTGGAGATCAGCAGTTGGACACCAAATCTGAAGAGGTTATAAATTTATTTACCAATAGTGCATGAAGCTTTGTGTATCAAGTTGCACTGCCACTTCAAGTATCCTTTGAACTGAAATAAAAGCAAAAGGCAAAGGCTGAGGCTTTCAAGATAATGCCATTTATCTTCTCAAAATCTGCTTTTTAGATGTCAGGGAAAACAATTTCACAATAGCTAGAAAGGATCTTGTCTGGCATCACTGGATTTTTATTGGTCTTTAATGTAACTTGAAAATATTAGGCCATATTGCAGTGTTCACTTTTCTATTGATTTTTCAGACAGTCTGGTAACACAAATGAAAAAATGCCCATAATTAGACATCTTTCCTAAAGCTGAAAGCTGACTTTGGAGGAACCCACACAACAAGCTTCCTCTTCATGTAAAACTTTAAAGTGGCTCCTGGATTCATGAACTACAGGAAAACTTGAAGTCAGCAAGAAAAGTGTCAGTAAACGATGAGAAAAAAATAATGGCTTCATGTTTAAAGAAGATAGTTCACCTTGTAAGAGCAGCTAAATCAAAAAGTTCATGTCTGCAGGACAAGATGTCTGTAGTGAGGTTGGTCACACAAACACCTTCCTGCATAGCCAGCAAAAGTGGCCTCAGTGCAGCTCTCCATCCTGAAGCTTGCTTACAGAAAAGTTCTGAGGCAATACAAAACTTTGAGGTCATCTTCCCCAGAAAAAGGAAGATTTTAGGCATCTCTTCTAGCAGTGGTATCTGTGAATGCAGCAGTGGTTGTCACGGGCAGAAGAATGGCTGAGGAGTGAGTGACCTTCTGGTGCAGTGGGTCAGCCCACTGTTAGTCCAGGATTGGGATGGCAAGTGTCTTGCCCCAAGACCCCAGGTTATGCCAGTGTTTTTTGTTTTCTAGCGTTTGAATGGGCTTTGTAGCATTTTCTTCATTTTCTGTTTATTCTCTGGTTTTTGTATGGAATACTTTCTTCTTTGCTACTGATAGAATTCAACAGTTTTCCATGTAGTTAAAATAGCAACCAGGAAAACCTAACCAGCAAAGCCAAACACTGATTTATTAAGTTTTATAAAACTTTGGTTGGAATAAAGGCCATGTGAGTCATTCTTGTCTGGTTCTTATGCAAGCAAGCCCCTTCTGCAGAGGAGCGAGACTGCACTCAGTCTGCAGTCAGTTCTGCTGATGAGATGGCTCCACAAACCCTCTTCAGCAGGGCTCCCTGTCTGACCCCAGTTGTGACTTTCCACAGATACACTCAACACACAAGCTGCTGAGTGTCTAGGGTCCCACCAAGGATAGGCATGGGGGTTATGGACGTGCTGAAGCTTATTTCCAGAAAGGTTTTTGCTCAAAAGCTGTAATGGACAGAGCAGTCCTCACTGAGACAACCTGAGTCCTTGTAGCTTTGGGCTGAAGATTTAGACTATGCTCCTCTCCATGCCACCCAAGAAGGGGAAGCTCTGGGAGACCAGGAACAGTCTTCAGGACCATGAAAGAAGTCTTGCCTTTTCTGGCTGGTCCTGCTGCCACCCTCATCCAAGAACAGCAAGGATATTAAAGTGCATGACATGGCAGAGGACAAAAAGTTGTGTTATTGTCTTCAGTTTAATACTTTCTGCCATGCTCCTGTATAAGACCTTCTGTGACTGCTATATAACTTCTGTTATGGTAAGAGCCTCTACCACCACCCAAACTTGTTTGTTTGTTTGTTTGTTTTTTCCAAGATAAGATCATCTGGGGGCTGAGAGGCTGGAGAGCAACCCTGCAGAGAGGGATCTGGGGGTTCTGTTTGACATCAAGTTAAATAGCAAATTGGCACATTGAAGGTTCTTGTTGTTTGGTTTTTTTTTTTTGACCTCTTACACAAACAGATAATCTTCACTTAATTCAGGCACCTTTTATTACAGTTTGAAATTACCAACCAAACAAAAATAAACAATGTGAGCACTCCATGCAAGAAAAAAGCTGCGACATGCTGTCACTAAGGATTTGCAGGGATTTGGAAGTATGTTTAAACAGGAATCTAGATATACATTTATTTCAGTCCAAGGGTGGGTTAACACTGAAACATTTCTCTCTCCATGTCTGGCCATGGGGTCCCACTGCCCCTTTTGCACCACATCCATGCAGGGAGTTGGATCAGCACAAGAAGAAATTATTGTTCCATCAGATGACTCACATGATGAAGCTGTACTCTGGGATCCCATCATGAAATCCACCACAAGTGGTCCTCTAAAAGCTCTCCTCTTAAGGGTGCCAGAATAGTGAAAGCAGCAGGCATTTACATTTCCCCTAAAGACCCAGTTCTTCCAACAGCCCTCAGAGCAGCTTGCTGACTAAAACCTCTATGTATTTGAATTATTTATCATATGAATGAATTCATTTATGACAAACAAAGAGGTGGACCACTGGGATGCAGCAATGCCAACACAACAAAATGGAAGCTGGGGAGATTGGGGGAAATGAACCCATAATCACGGCAAGCAACACCATCTGCTCAGGCGGCGGGAGGCAGCTGTGACCATATATGAAATACGAGAGTGCAGGGACGTATGGAGCAGCAAATAAAAAGGGTGTTGGAATAAGCAGAGCTGAGCAAGAAACAAACAACTTTCTGTGACCTGCAGAAGCATGTTTGTTACAGAATGACTGAAAACTAAATGGCAAATTTTATGTCTCATTCCAAATTTTCCAATTCAGAAAGTATGTAAGCAACATTCATGTTCCTTTTACTTCCCACTCCACTGACACTTACAAAATTGAAATCTTAACTCCTGCCAAGTGCTCTGCCACCCCAAGCCTGGGACCTGGGAAACTGATCAGTGTGTGTTACAGACACCTGCAGTGCAAAGGCTGAGAATACTAAAAGCCAGATCTCAAACAGTGTAAGCTGCCTTTGGTCCAGCTTACACCAGTTGCTGATCTGGTCTATAAGTAAGTGTCTTATTGCAGTAGCAGTTTGACTGATGATGGTTTGCATTCACTAAATGCTGATGAGCACTAGCTAAGTAGACGTACTTCATTGTATTTGTGGTGACGAGATTGATTGTATCGAGCATTTTTAAAATCCTTCTTCTTTTAGTTGTTCTTCAAAGAAATCATTACATGCCACAGTCAAAGCTGCAACCAGAGTCATAAATTCATTAAAATCCACTTCATTGTCTTTATTGGAGTCCAGATCTTTCATAATCTTATCGACCAGAAGGGGATCATTTTGGCCCTAAAGAGAAAAAAAGTATCTTAGCTGGGCAGATCTTGAATGCATAATTACAACACACGTGATGGTGCAACCCACCAGTATGACACAAGACCAGATGCTATTAAATAAAAGGGTGAGTGCAATATGCACCCAAATACTAATATACGTGAGTCATAACATTAAAAATGTAGGTCTGGAGTCACAAAGGTATGCAGCTACAGAAACTGGGAACACTGCAGCTCTTAGAAGGAATACAGGTACTGAATAGACACCGAAGTGAATCAAACAAGTTTTAGGAGCTGCTGAGCACAAGTCTAATCTGTAATGTGCAATAAATAAATAAATAAATAAAATTGAAATTTCTTTGTATCATCCCTAACAAATAGTGCTTTGATTTTCAAGAAACTGTTTATAAGTGGTCATATTATACCTCCATTCATCGCATTCAGAATATCTCTACTTAACAAACAACACATCCTATGCAGTGGGAGTAAGGACAGTCAATCTCATGAAAATAAATCAATAACCAAGATTAAAAGAAAATCCAATTCAAGGAAATGGATACAATGTATTAAAAGTCCTACTGATGGTGATAGGGTCCTCAACAATCCTTACAATTTAGAGGATACAGAAAATCTGTTATGGATCAGGTCATTATTCCATAAAGTGTCAATGCTGTGTAATGAAGAACACAACAAACATGTAAAGAGATATTCATGTCAAAATACTTATCCCTGAAAGGTTTTCTTAACGATATTGTGGGACAGATAAGCAGCTGTAGTGTGTCTGTGGTTTCCCATAACAGTTTCCGCACGACAGCTGGGTATGATTTAGTTAGGCCGCCAAGAATAAAATGGACCTTGGAGCTCACCTATTGCATGACCATGGTGTCATGCCATAGTTTTGTCTGGGACAGAGTTAATTTTCTTCACAGAGACCCACACAGTGCTGTAGTTTGGATTTTTGATGAAGAGAGTGTTGATAACACACCCATGGTTCAGTTATTGCAGAGCAGTGCTCACTCTGAGACAAGGCGTTTTTAGCTCCATGTGCTGTCTTGCCAGCGAGGAGGCTGGGGGTACACAAGGAGCTGGGAGGGGACACAGCCAGGACAGCTGGCCTAAGGGAACCAGAGGGGTGTCCCATGCCACATGGTATGCAAACTACTTTGTCATTGCCTGAGAGCTGGTTGCTGAATTTGAATCTTTGAATGACTTATTTCTGCTCCATTACTAAAACAAACAAACAAACAAACAAACAAATAAAGCCTGATCCAGCATGAGTTTTGTTACTAGTCCTGGCTGCTGCTGGCCCTTCTGTCCAAAAGCACAGCAAGCGAAGCACAAAGTGCCTGTCTTGTGGCACCTGGGAGAGAACTGGGGGCCCAGACCACCCCCTGAAAACACACTTTTCAAATGTGAAATTTGATCTCATCTCTTTCTCTCCGGCTCTGCAAGACAGTTGTCATCTGAGAGGCTATAGCAGGATGTTTGTTGTGTAAGGAGATGCTATTCCTGAACACTTTGATAGCTGCTTATCTCACCGGTGAAACAGAAACTCAAGAGACTCAGGAGCTGCATCTTACTGAAAGGAAGTCAGTGAGCTCACTGGCGAGGAGTTCCTTGAGTTCTGCTTTACTGAGCTTGTATCTGTCTCCTTCTTTGCCAGAGTAGTGATGAAAAATCCTGATCAAGGTGTTCATAGCATCCTCCAGTGGTGTGGACATAGCAGCAAGCAGGAGAGCTGTGGGGCAAAGACCCAGAATCAGTGGCATGGCAGAGGAATCATAGTCCTTCCTTGGGGAAGGGATGGAGAGCTAGCTGGAGGTAGAAATTGTTATCAGCACTGAGAAAATGGGCTTTCAGCTGATCCATGCTGTCAAATGCGTGTGAACAAGTCTAGATTGTTATAAAATAAAACATTTTCCTGAATTCATTAGAATTCACTTCTAAATGTAAAAAGAAAGGAAAACCTTCACTTGAGAAACTGTGCTACCATGCATCCATTTGATATAAAAGGAAACCTCTTGCACCCACAGCTGAGAACACAAGCAAGATGAAGGTACACTGCTAATTCAAATGTTTCCTCAGGAAAATGGGAACAGGAAGCCACAGCCAAAGTACATTTATACAGCAGGCTCCTAACATACCTGATTCTAAGGTGGTGAGAGGAAAGTCACTAATCACAAAAAGATGCAAGGGTAGGAGCAAAAGCTTTCACTTAATTTGGAGTTGCTTGTTTGGGATGATTTTTTTCTCCCTGTAAATTACCTGGAATAAACGACTATGAGCTAGGCACACTGAAGGGTTTGCTTCATCAAGTATGCAGTCAGAAAATAGAAAGAGAAGCACCACTAAAACTTACAAAAGATGGAAATACAATTCATTGCTGAGTAGCTGACTCAAAGAATAACTAGAATTAGAAATCAGGTGGAAGGAAACACATTGTTTTGATTAAGCCCCAGGAGAGAGCTTAAAACAACAACAACCAAAAAAAAATAAACAACAACAACAACAAAAATTCAAAGTAAGACTGGAGTTATAAAGAAAAAATACTACTGCTTACCTGCTTTACAGGCTAACTGAAGTATTTGCAAGAAAACAGATCAGAAGGTGATGGTCCCCTTCTGTTCAAAACTCATGCACACACACTTGTTTATCAGGCTGAGAGGGTGGATTAGAGATGGACGTATAATTGTCACAAGGATGACAGGGCTTCTGTTTCCCTCTGTATTTGCCTATCGTGTTCAACAAAAGCCGCTTGCTCTAAATAGGTCACTAAAATATTTACTAGGCAGCACATAGGGCTGTGTGTGGAACACACAATGACATTCATTTGACATTTTACAAAAATGCACATCTGGGATTCTGAAAGTCAAAATTAGGAAATGCTAACAATAACTAAAAGTCAGTATAAAATAACTTTCCCCCATCGAAAAAAAAAAAATATATATATATATATATATATATATATATATGTATATGTATTTCTAGTCTCTCTGGACTTCTACAGCAGTGAGCCTAAATGCTGAGCCACTGGCAGCCCATCCTCAAGGATACTTAAGCTTCTAAAAGTAGGCTTGTAGATGAGTTTGCAACAAATCCCTTGAGACATTTATCTTTAATATCAGATGTCTCAATAAGCCTAAAATGTTGGCACTTGATGAATGAAGTTTTTGCCATAGTACACATGCCCTCTGGACAAAACCAGTTTCAGACACAGGTGCATCTGGAATTGCTCAGAACAGTAGACTTCATTTAATCTTTGTCAACCCAGTTGAAATGAACTGAAGAGGCAAAAGTGCTCTGAGGTCAGCATCCTGCTTTCAGCCTGTGGATCATCCACATGCTCATCTCATATCAAGCAGGAGATGCTTTTGCAGATCTTTGCCCTTTGAACAGCTGAAACAAAGCTCCTGTCAGCTTGGCTAAACAGGTTACCACATACACATCATCTCTGCACTTCTGTTTCTGAGCTCGTTCCCCGTGGAATAAAAAGTGCAGTGCAACATCTCTTTCAGTAAGCCATATTCCCCCAAGAGGTCTTCCCTTGTCCCAGCCCCAGAGACATGCCAGCCCTGCTGGTGATGGCTAGGGAACACAATAAGCAGTAATTTCATCATGATAGAGCCTACTTACCACCCAAAACATCAAAAACCCATAGTTTTCATGACAGCCACATGAAATGGAAAGCTTCTTGCTCTGAGTTTACTTTGCCTCCATGAAGTTCTCCACCTGCTGCACATGTGTGCCCAGGTAAGACAAACGGACAGATAAACAGCAACAGGGTACGCAGCTGTGGCTGCTGCTCACTTTTGTCCCAGCCTGGAGGACAGAGGATGAGGTAGGCAATGTTGTTGTTTCCAAAAACCTCTAGGCACCTATAATTTTAAGTTCCACAGTAAAACTCAGCCCACACCTCCATCTGCTTCCTTTGCCTCACGATTTGACACTTCTCTTATCCACACCATTGTGAAAAACCTCCCCAACCACAGGGGTCTCATCAGTGTCTGATGGGCAAGAATTTTCTCTTGGAGAAAGGGGCACTAAACAGAAATGCTGGATCCCAGTGGTATTGGAGGTGGCTATATGTAAAGCATTGTTACTGAAGCAACAGGCTCCTTAGGCTCCTTAGCTTAGAGGTCTCTGCAGACATGTACAATAATGCAGGGTGTGCTCCTTCACCTCCCATCACTGTGTTTGTGAGTACGCACTGAATTAGGAGAAGATAATGCTCAGGTTAATTTCAGAAAAGGTCCTGGTGGAAACCAGCCTGGAAATTTGATGTACGACAAGAGGAATCTACTCCCTCCTGAAGCCAGATGAGTGCTGGGGAGGAGAGGTGCCCTCCATTCATCTTCTGTATGAGGGGATGGAGATGCATATCAGCTACAGCACAACGCTCTCAATTATATCCTGGACATATCTCGTGCCATTGCAGATACTAAGTAAAAGCATATGGAGGGAGACTGTCTGCTGTGCACTACAGCTATGTAGGGCTGTGATCTGCTAATGCCCACAGCTATTGCCCAGTAACATTACCCAATCAAAACTTAAAGTTTCTTTGTTTGCCATTTATTCAACAACATCTTCACCCACAACCAGAAAACAAACAAACAAACAAACAAACCACTGTTGAGTCAGTTCATTGGTGTAACCTCCTCCTATTTGTATATATATTACATCTATTGTCTGGTTTATGAATAATACTGCAAAATAATTATCCGTGCAAGGTCTACAAGAGGTACAATTTCTGAGCAGTAAGCATAAACTTTCAGAGCTACTATTTTCAGAACAGAATAAAGAAGCTTTTTTCTTCCATTGTCTCCAGAACATCATCTCAGTAATTTATACAGTGATGTAGTCTGTGTATTCTATCTCAATAGCTCCTTTCACTCCAGCTAATTGGGTAAGAACTTTCTACTTCATGATGGAGTATTACACAGGGAGCAGCTGCACTGAGCTTGTTTATTCAGATCTCCATTCAGTTTGCTCTGTCCATACCCGCCCTTTCTGGACAAGGAAATTCTGCTAGTGGCTCTAGTGACAGCAGAGATCTTCTAACTCCACTGATATCAGGTCCCAGAAGCTTCTACAAGAATCATGATTGTCAGTCCACTGCTTCAAAACCTTTATCCAAAACTCTGACACAATCTTTTTTTTTTTTTTTTTTTGTATATATGTTATCTGGAAGCACTGAAGATAACTAAAGATGGCGTGACCTGAGAGCACTCCTGTATCACAGCAATACATAACTATGTGTCAACAGCCACCATTTCCCCTCTGATGCTCCCTTGCACTTTAGCATCTGCCATGGTAAGTACAGAAGCAACACCGGAGCAGGCACATGGCTGACAGCAATGTGCCCTGGTGGCCAAGAAGGCCAATGCTGTCCTGGGGTGCATTAGGAAGAGCATTCCCAGCAGGTCAAGTTCTGCATGGAGTCTCCAGAATCCAAGCAGACTCCATGCCATCTCTTGGCAACCCGTTCCAATGTTCTGACACTGCTCTGTCACCCTCACAATAAAGAAGTTAAAGCCAGGACTCACAAGGGCTGAGTAGAGGGGCAGGATCATGTAACTGCTCTCCCCTCATCTACCCAGCCAGTCATTCCGTCACAGAAGGCTCTCAGATAGGTTAAGCACAATTTCCCCTTGGGGAATGCATGCTGACTGCTCCTGATCACCTTTTCCTCCACATGTTTAAAGAAGACCTCTCGAATGAGTTGTTCCATCACCTGTCCAGGGATGGAGGCAGGGTGACTGGCCTGTAGTTCCCTGAGTCCTCCTTCTTGCCCTGTGGTGGTTTTACTGTGCTGGGCAGCTAAACACCACAACCACTCTCTCACTCCCCCTCCTTAGATGAGGAGCGGGAGAAGTAAAGCAAAGAACAACTCACAGGTTGAGATAAGGATAATTTTATTAAAGGGAAATAATAATAATAATTAAAGAAAGATTATGATGAACTAAACATTTTAACTAAAGGGAAATAAAAAGGGAAAGGGCAAAAGGGAGGGGGAAAGGAAAAAAAAAAAGGAGGAAAACAAACAAATAAAACCAATGAAGGCTATGTGGAAGTGCAGAGGAAAGAAATTACTCTCTACTTCCCACAAATGAGCAATGATTGACCACATCCTTGAAGCAGGGCCTCAACACACATAGCTGGTGTTCAGGAGAAGGACCGACGTTTTCACAACGAGAGCCCACCCCTCCCCTCTTCTTCCTGTTTCCACCTTTTATTGCTGAGTGTGACATCACATGGTATGGAATATCCCTTTGGTTGGTTTAGGTCAGCTGCCCTGCTGATGTTTCTTTTCTCACTTTTTGCCCACCCCCTAGGAGGGTTAGAGAGAGGCCCGATGCTGTGCCAGCGCTGCTCAGCAGTGGACATAACACTGGTGTGATACCACTGCTGTTCCAGCTACAAGTGCAGAGCACAGCACTGTATGGGCTGCTGCAGGGAAAGTTAACATTCCAGCCAGACCCAGTACAGAAGGCTGGCGTGACATCAGCTTTCTTCCAGATCTCAGGCATCTCCCCTGTTCTCCACAACCTCTCAAAGATGTTGGGTAGTGGCATACTGATAACATCTGCCAGCTCCCTCAGTGCTTGTGAATGCGTCCCATCTGGGCCCATGGATTTGTGGCTATAACCTGATCCTCCCCAGCCAAGAGAAAATCTTCCTTTCTCCAGAATTTCCCTCATGTCCCAGGGGTCTGGGATTCCTCAGGGCTCACCT